GGGGGGGGGGGGGGGGGGGGGGGGGTCCAAAAAATCCGAAAAAAAAAACTTTGTGCAGAAAAATAAACTGAACAGCTTTTGACTCAGGGTCATGCAAGTGGTGGCATTCAGGAGGTCGTGGGTTCGAGCCCCAGAGCGGCCTGAGGCGCACTTAGTGCCAACCAGCGGTGATAGTCCACGTGATACCTCTGATCGGTAATAGCAGGGTCCTTGGCCAACATGGGTGTGGGTGTGAGTGTGAGTGTGAGTGTGAGTGGGTTGTGTGTGGTGTGTGGGAGAGTGTTGGCTTTAGACACTGCTGTTATTCGGTTGGGGGCGGGAGAGGATGAAAAGGGAGGTGCAGCTACTGGCAAGGGAGGTGCAGCTACTGGCAAAATGCTCGGTCTTTGCGTTAGCCTGAGCCCCACCAGCGGTCCCACCCCATCCTTGACCACCATGGTTGGGGCGGGCGTCAACATGCATCCCCTCTGATGGCTGGAGGGAGACAACAAAGCGATGTTTGCAGGGGTCCCCTGTCTAAGCCTTAGGAGTAGCGGTAGGTAGGTAGTGAAGGTGAATTGAAAGAATTCGAAAGATGATGAAAGATTTGAGAGAAGAATATGGCGTAGTTTTCAAGGGGGCGCAAAAAAAAAAAATCCCTCTCCTCCCCCAAAAGAAAGAAATAAAATAAAATAATAAATTCATTTTTGGTCCGGCCGACCAAGTGGTCCTGGGCCACTCTGGTAACGTAGCCGCAGACACAATAAACTTGGTCCTATTCCTGATGCAAGCACTCATACCCCTTAGGGATCAGATCATTGCTGTCAATACCCCTAGGATAAAGGGGTACCCGTAACCCTCTGGGTGGTGATCAGTGCAAGGTTTCAGAAGGACTACGGTTGTCACAATATTAAATCACCTAACGACACCACACAACAGGCCTACTATGATAAGAATCCGGAAGGCCCGGAACACAATCGACACGACAATGCATCAATGGGATGGCGTTCCACGGAAGATCTGACATCAGAGCATCGTGGACTCTACGTGGAGGGATCCGATGTCGTCACGTACACCATACCTTTCATGACTTCATAACGTCACAAGTACATCTGCACATCCTTTCAGCCCCTTGAGACACACCGAACTGCTCGCCATCGCCGTAGGACAATGTTGGTTGTCCACAACACGGTCCTCGGAACACAATGACCAGTACTAGGAAGATGACGAGCAGGAGAAGAATAGCAATGACTGCGGACAATCCAGCACCTTCCTTTTCTGCCGGACTGTATGCTCGCTGTTTTTGGGCCTCACCCTCTGTAGTTGTATCGACTTCAGCTTCTTCTGATGCTGGGATTTCGTATGGCCCTGCTATTCTCCGCCGAGTCCGGGCATACAAGTCCAGCCATTCCCGGCACGCGAGCTGTGGCACCTCTCCTCCTCTCGATCTCAAATTCTCCACACCAAGACTTGCTCCAATCCTCTCAGGCCGATTTCCGAGCCGTTCTGTTCTTGCACTCAATGTCTCGACTGTACGTGCAAGGTTCTCCTTACCCACATTCCTCGCCTGCTGCAATCCCTGATACCCGGCAACTCTAGCCTGCAGTAGTCCATGATATCCAACTGTCTTCGCGTGCTGTATTCCACGGTGAGCATGCTGCAACCCTACCCCCCCTCCTCTCCTTCTCAATTCAGCATGGTCGAACCTAGATTCGACATGATCGGCAATGTCAGTCGCGGTGGACCGCCAGTCCCGTCGTGCAAGGCCTGCGGCTGCATTTGTAGTTTCAGCGCTGGCTGCCCGCATGTCCCTTCCTCCAAGGCCTGCTAATGCATTCGTTGTCCCAGCGGTGGCCGAGCGCCGGTTGTCGCTCCTAGCGAGGGCCGCTGCTGCTGCTTCCTTGCCTGTTTTGATTCCTTGCCATGCATGTCGAATGGTCTGCTGGCCTTGCGTCTTTGCTTCCTGCAACCAATAGGATGCATACTGCAGACCCTGCTGACTCAGTTCTCGCCATGATTTTGCAAATGGCGCTAGAGCATTCTGCGTGTCCACAGGCCAGCTCGCGCTAGTGCTGCCAACCGCACTTCCGTCTCTGGCAATCTGTGCACCCAAGCCTGGAACCGTCGCACCCTTTGCGCGTAGTGCTTCTACCACCTCCTGAACCTTCTGCTGCCCCAGAGTCTTTGCCTCCATTACCGCATGATGTGCATATCGCAACCCCTGCTCTCCCCTCTCCTTCCACTTGTTTGTCGGCGTCGCTGGCGATATTCGAGGGTCCTCCTCAACTATCGTTGATTTGATGAAGCTATCTCTGCTCATGCTTCGCTGATCTCTTCGAGCTGCCCGGTTCCATCCCTCTGGTCTATACCCTGTTTCTTGTGGGACCAACTCAATGAATACAAGACGTGCATCAGATTTCATTCTCCGTATATAATTGTCTCCTTGTGGTGGGAGTGGTGGTGTAGACCGTAGCATCGTCTGCCAGGAAGCCGGCTTCTCTGGAGTACTGCTTGTCGGAATCCACTTTCCGTCGTCATGGATTGCATACTTGTCCTTCACAGGAGTCGATCGCTCTGGTGTACCCATTACAGAAGTAGATCTCTCCACACGTGCACTCAGCAACTGCTTCTGCAGATCCTCAAAGGAGGACGACGCCTCAAAATGGTCATCGAGATCGTTGGTATCACTATGAAGAAGAACAGCCGGCAGAACCACCTCTTCATCGTCATCGTCTTCATACTCCAACCAGGCAGCTTCTGATTCATTGTCAAAGTCATCCCCTCGCTTCCCTCTTTCAAACTGGTAAGGAGGCGATTCCTCCTTCCCCTCGTGCACATCAGCTGGAACGTTCGCTGGGCGCATGTCGCTCTCCATTCTCCAACCTCTTCCAGCACTAGATGCCTTCCCAGTTCCTTGGAGTGGCTCTTCTTGATAAGAACTATAAATAGAATCCCCATTGGCTTCCACCTTGGCTGCAGCAACAGGAAACGATCGCACTCCCACCTCCCTTTCCACTACTTCAACGGCCCTAGCTTTGGCAAACGACAGAGACTTAGGATAGAAAGTTTTGCCCTTCGTCTGAGCATCTACAGAAGCAGCACACACGATTCCCTCACCTCTTTCCTCCTCTTCATCATCATCGCTTTCCACTTCTTCCCTCTCCTCTTCCTCCTCTTCCACCACCAGTCCAAACAGACCTCCTGCGGCACTTGCATTGTTAGAATTAGCGGTATCCCCCACCATCACTGATGGCAGCTTCTTCTCCTTGGAAGGAGATAAACCTGACCTGCCGACAGATTCTGCTGCAAGCGCAGCCGCATTAATTCCTGTACCAACACCATCTTCCGGAGATTGTGTGAATCCATAACAGTCTGCATCAGCTCCAGACGAAGGCAAAGTACTGACCTCCTCTTTTCCTTCATCTTCATTGCTCCCTCCTTCTACCACATCTTCCTTGTCTAGTCTCGCAACTTCAGCTGGAATCTGGAGACTCGTATCACTTCGATGGACTTCACTATTGCCAGAAGATACAAACTTCTGAACGTCTTCCTTGTGCGGTGATGGCCCTTCGCTAACAAAAGCCATTGGTTCTGCTGATGAAACACTGTGACAGTCCCCTCCCAACACACCGGCTTCCATGTGGACTGCCCTTCCCCCTGGCGCATAGGACACCACTTCCCTAGCATCCCTCTCTACCTCTAGCTGCCGCTGCTGCTTTCCCGGTGACTCTTCCAGCTTCCCATCCCCTTCTTTCTCCACTACACCTGACTCACCTACCATCTCTACCTGTTCGCCAACAGCGTCATTACGCTGCTCTTTCCCACGCTTCTTCGCTTCCCTAGTCTCTCCATCCAGTACAGTAATCTCTGCTGCACTTTCACTGACTCTATCCTCTTTCTCCTTCTGAATCACCAGTGCAGCTTTCAAGACCATTGTGCTCTCAACCACACCCTTCTCCTCACTCTGATTACTTGCTACGTCTTTGACTTCTGGCTCCATCATGACCTCTGGCTCCACCTTAACCTCAACTACTTCCTCCGCTTCCTGAACCTGCGCTTCGCCTTCTGTAGACTGCGCCTGCAAATCGTCTATGACTACTGCCTTTTCTCCTGGTGCTGAACAATCTACCACTCCTGCTCCTACGCCCTCCTCCATGGCGACAACCTCTGCTCTCTCTTCCTCTATCACTCCTGCTCCCGTGCCGTCCTGGTGGGTAACAACCTCTTCCCCCTCCGGCCGTTGTTCCTCTCCTCCTACATTCATATCAACAGCCTGACTCCTGTCGACTTCGCCAGCCACGGCGCTGTCCTCCACATCTTCTAAAACTTCATTTTCCTCTGTAGGAATTGTGCATCCCATCCTTTCAACTGAATCAACTCTAAGCTCAGATCCGGATGGTCCTGACGTTGTACCGTCCTCCGGAAGGCCGGAACCCAGCAAAGAGCTTGACTCGGCGTTACTCTCCGGCTTCAGCAAAGCAGATGCCTCGAACGCTTGAGAGGGAGAAAGGGATCTGTCATTCTTCTCCTGGGAGGACTCAATATCTATCAATCGCAGTCCCTCCTTGACTTCTCCTTTATCCTCTTCACAAATCACCTCCACACTTGCTTGCATGACTGCACTTACCTCTTGTCTATCCAAAGCATCCGATTCAAACACATGAGAGGGGGAGATAGACCTGTCATTCTCCCCCTCGGATTCATCGTCATCAACTATTTCTGATGCCTGCTGTGCTTCCACCACGTCCTTGTCCTGTTCACCAGGATCTCCACCCTCCTCCTGCATGACAGAGTCCTTCACATCTTGCAGCAAAACAGACTTCTCATCTGATGCCGCCTCGTCATCCACACCAACTGATTTTAACAACGAGGGTGCAACTTCCTCCTCTTCCTTTTCAATAATGTCTGCCACCATGGAGCCTGTTTCAACAAAAAGATTGCACAACACATTAGCTGCCAGCTGGTAGGGCAGAGAAGGAATTCTATTACTTTGACATCCTACACACCCCCTAGCAAATTCTGACCCAATCACAAATGCTAGGGGATATACTAGAAGGACTTCTAGTATATCATTGACTCACTGTATTTCACTATTTCTGCCCCATTGACAAATGACCGAATAAGCAACCCTCCGACCGAGTCCACAAAAAATTTAAATATCAGAGAAGTGACAGAGATGGACAACCGGCATACCAGATACAACACTCTCCTCGAGAAGTTCCCACACATACTTTGCAAGTCATTTCTTGACCCACCCACAAATGCACTTAAAAAAATCCACGACCTGAACACATAGCCTTGCACCAAGATGCTCAGCAACAGAAGACAGCAAAAAAAGAGTGTTCCCCAGTGCACCTGCCCATGTCCATCTCTACTCTATCTATTTTGAAAGATCAACCCTCTGCGCACATGCCCATGTCCCTCGCCAAAGCTTTTTCACTCTCCTTGATTCTTTCACTCAAACAATTATTCGTTCTTCCAATCACACCTCCACTAACCCGACCAGTTCCTAACATGGAAGAACAAATCATTGTTTGAGTGAAAGAACAAAGAGAACTAAAAGCATGCCTGTGCTTTTGCAGGCTGAAATCATGTCTCCACCCATGTGTGTGTGTGTGTGTGTGTGTGAGAGAGAGAGAGAGAGAGAGAGAGAGAGAGAGAGAGAGAGAGAGAGAGAGAGAGAGAGAGAGAGAGAGA